GTCACGTGGGCCGAGAGGCTCGTCGAGGCTCGGATAAATACCGCGCGGCCCCGAGCGGGCAAAAGAGCGCGCCGCCGCCGCTTCCTCCACCGCCGCCGAGACCCCGAGCGCCGGGCGCCCCGCGCGCTCAGAGCCGCCGGAGGGACCCTCGGGCCTGCCCGCCGCCGCCGTAAGTGCCCGCGCCGCGCCGCGCGCCGAGGTGGCGGCCGGCCACGCTGCACGGGCCGCCGGGGCGAGGACCGTGGGGGGCCTGCGCGGGGACCGCGGGGGTACCGGTGTCCCAAACGCCAAAGCCCCTCTTTGTTTTCCACCTGCAGAGCCTGCTGGCTTGAAGGTACGGACCGGTGGGTCCGGGGCGGAGGGAGTCGGGATCCGGGGGGCAGGGGATTTGAGGAGCTTTGGGGCATGATTCTCTTTCCTAAGGCGTTTATATTTAGGCTTTTTATCCCTCGGTTCAATCAGCCCTGAGTTGGCTCTGGGACCAAAAATCATGCCGCCTCAACTCTTGGAGAGCCGTCCCCAGTATATACATTTTTCTCCGTCTCTTCCCCACAATTCCCAGAAATCCAACATGAAAACCCTCGTGGCCTTGGCCGTCTTTTTTCTCATCTCCACTCAACTGTTCGCGGAAGAAATCGGAGCTAACGATGATCTGAATTATTGGTCCGACTGGTCCGACAGCGACCAGATCAAGGTGAGAACCGGCCCCCAGCCGGCTCGCGCCGTTTTCCCGGGCCTCGGGGCCGTCACTCGCCCTGCGGTAGCGTTCTAGTCAGCCTGGAAGGCACGGCGACGGCGACCAGGGCGGTGGAGGCGCGCGGGTGTGTGTGTGTGTGTGTGTGTGTGTGTGTGTGTGTGTGTGTGTGCACGGCGACGGCGACCAGGGCGGTGGAGGCGCGCGGGTGTGTGTGTGTGTGTGTGTGTGTAAAGGAACGCCATTCCCCGGGGGCTGCACCGTCCAGGGCGGTGGAGGCGCGCGCGCGCGCGCGTGTGTGTGTGTGTGTGTGTAAAGGAACGCCATTCCCTGGGGGCTGCACCGTCGGGGCTCGGGAACTCCCTGCGTGGAGGGGGGTGCTCCTCACAATGTTTCATCCCGGGGTAACGGCGATTTCCGGGACTCCAGTCTAGCTGCAAGGATCGGGCGTCTGGAAACGGCTGGACATCGGCAGGAGGGGGTGCGCCCGACGCTGGTAGAAGCTGGGGCAGTGGGCGAGCTGCTCGTGGCTTGGAGGGGCGAGGTGGGTGGGAAGGTAGCTTCCACCCTTGACTGTTAAGTTTGCTGACTCGAGGACGGAGCCGCCAAGTTTTCCTTCACCGGCCTCGCAGGCTCTTCCTGCAAGGGGGCGCGCCCCGAGGGAACAGTAAAAACCGCGCGGTGCAGGTCTCCGGGAAAGCGCTGTCATTCCCTCCCCACTCCCGACGCACACCTGTGTGCGTTTAGGGCGGCCAGGCGTCTCCAGAGCCCGCGCTAGAGTCAAGAGAAAGCCGGGTGACTGCGCGACAGATGAGCGGGGGTCCCCAAGCTCGGAGCAAAAAGCGGAAAAACATGCAGAGCTCGGGGCCGCTGCGCCGCCTGCTCACCCTCGGGGGCGGGATTGGGGGGCAGGGTCGCGGCTAGACACGAGTTCCGCCGGGAAGGGCGCACGCAGGGAGGGAGATGCGGGTCTGGGAGCCCAGTCCCCCCACCCCCACCCCCCGGCCGGGGCCTCCCCCGGCCTCCCTGCGGGCGAGCTACCCCACCCTGGCGGCGGCAGCGCCCGCAGCCTAGCTTCTCCCGAGGCAGGCGCGCACCACTGGAATGACTCGGGTTTCCCGGCGCCTCGCGCTGGTTGCCTACACGCTCGTTTGTCTGTGCGTCCGCCCCCAGGAGGAGCTGCCTGAGCCCTTTGAGCATCTTCTGCAGAGAATCGCCCGGAGACCCAAGCCTCAGCAGTTCTTCGGATTAATGGGCAAACGGGATGCTGGTGAGATGGGCAGCCATCCCTCTCTGAGCAGCCGCCCTCTCCGCCCCTCCCCACCCTCGCCGCTTCTCAGAGCACCCAGTCTCTCTTGCTCTTTGAGTAGAAGTTTTCAGCCTAAAATGCACATATCCCCGAGGAGCGACTCTCGCTTCACCCCACCAACACACGCACCAGTCCGCGGAGGGAGGGAGAGCGCTTTTGCGCGCGCCTCGCACGATTAGAGAGGCCCAAGTCAGAAACAGGGACCACCAGCCTTAGCTGAACTCTCCCTTGACTGAAGATCCAAAATGACACAGAGAAAGGCGCCCTCCCCGGGGTTCTAAGTGCCTGTGGAAACCCGTTTTACACCATTGGGGTTAGATCAGATTTAGGTGCCTTAATGTGATAGAAATATTCAGTTTAAATAGTTAATGTTAATTCATCTTTTGTCAGATTCCTCAGTTGAAAAACAAGTGGCCCTGTTAAAGGCTCTTTATGGTAAACATTTCTATAAATCTTTATTTTACTGATGTGAATGCACATGTAGGAAAAGTGAAGAAAGTCTTTTATGGGCTGAAATACAGATTCTTGGTCATACCTATTTTATAAAACTATAGACTTGTATCCCTCTCTACTGTGTGTGAAATGTTGGTCCTCTAGAAGATATGGTTCTTATATGAAAACAGGTGGTGTAGCCGAACAGTTATTATGTTAGTCTTCAGAGGCCCAATAGTCCTGGGTTTGAATCTGGCCCATAGAAAGCACCTAAAAATATTTCTTTTGGTTGCTGTTTTGTTTTTATCATTAACAATTTGGTTAGCATTTATGGTTCTGTTATATTCCTCAGGATAGTACATGAATGGGAAATGTTACGTATTTTAAAAAATCAACGTATTTTACAATTCTCTTTTAAAAATGTAATGTAGCATCTTTAAAACAAATCTGTTGCATTTGCTAACTTGGCCTTTCTTTCTTCTAGGGCATGGCCAGATCTCTCATAAAAGTAAGTTTCAAATTATTTTGACATTTACCAATTCAAATGTAAATTAGACTGAATTTCATTTTATATCTTATTTTCTGTAATAACTTAGGACTTAATATTTTTAATGAAGACCATATTAGAAGGGGGGAGACTACTGTTAATTATATTCAGAGCAGATTTGTTCAAAGCTGTTTTTTTTAGACCTAGCTATTTACTAAAATGCATTATGTTAAAAATCCTTTAACTCTTAAGCTAACCTGTTGCTGAATTCCTTATTCACAGAAACTGAGATAATAAATATTTATTGTTGTTTTAGGCTGCTAAAAAAAGGCACAAAAGCCCTTTAGCTCGTATAAATTCTTAGTTTTAGGTAAGAATTTCAGTCTAGGGGTAAAAATCCAGGTCAGAGTCCTCTCCTTTCACACCTCACACCCTCTCCCATCCCGCACCACTTCCACTGCAAAAACAAGAACAAAACCAACAAGCATTGATAGGTATCTCCTAACATTTCAGTCTCCTGGGTCCCCTGAGGACACCATGTATTAGGGTCATCCAGCAGCCAATTAAGAGGATTGAGAGAATGAGTAGAGAATCCATAGTAAAGGTAAAGAGAGCTAGAAATGCAGTTTTTAGATCCCATAATTGACTTGATCTGTCAGAGTTCAATGAGACATTTCATAGGGCGGTGGAGATGGCAGAGTTGTGGCTCTTGACATTCATTAGGTCCCAGTTTCCCAGTTAATAGAACTCAAGTTGACAGGAATTCCCCTGGGTTCATCTCAATACTACTCACTCACCCCGGGTCCACTCAAAACTCCCACTTGGACTTGGGTTCACTGGTTGGCAGAGTAGGTCAGGTTCATACAGCAGTCCTGTTCTCAAATAATACAGTGTAAACCACGAGATCTTTTGCCACTAAAGGTAAAACCGTAAGCCTTGCCAAAGACTTCATCTTTGAAAATAATCTTATTTCTATTTACATTCTAAAGATATGACTTTCAAGGGAATTGTATATAGCAAAATTCTATATAATGAAAATAAATGCACTCTATTAATGCCAAAATCAACACACTTTTCCAAAAGGAGTATTTTTTAAAATGCAACAAAATAGACATAGTGACCTTTTAGAAGTTTATAATCATCGGGTGCAGGGACCTGAGCAACTCCTGTTCAGCTCCTGAGAAATAATAACATACTTGGGCATGAGGACATCCACTTGGATATTTCTGTTTGTGAAATTGATCCCCTAAAAGGCAAAGTTAGCTTAAATAGCAACAATATTTAAAACATTACATATAAGCAATTAGAATGTAATATGAATAAAGTGTACTTGCTAATATTTAGATATAATTAAGAATAATGCTTTCTTTTGTATTGTTTTAATGTCATTTATAAGACTTATTAGGAATCCTCATTTCTTCAGTCTCACTAAAACTTGAAATGGTTATATATTTATCAAATAGGCATATATTCAAAAGCTTGCTTTTCTTCAGTACAAGTTAACCGTTTATTTCCTCAAAGATGTACATATTGAAATACCCCTAAATGTATTTTTCCAGGGCATAAAACAGATTCCTTTGTTGGACTAATGGGCAAAAGAGCTTTAAATTCTGGTATGTATAAAACCATGACTGAAAATAGACAATTTCTTAAACCTATTATTTTCTTTCTAAGGCTTAATTTTCAAAGTACTAAAAAGGAATAATAAATTCAAAATGAGTACTTATGGTGAAAAAAATGTAATTGTAATAAATCAGTCCAAGAATGGGTGTATAGCTGATGAAGCTAATATCACCCAGGACACATCGATCTTTCTCAAGCCACCGGCCTTCCCAGCATCTGCCCCATGTAGTCCTTACTTAACCTGAATCCTTGGGCTAGTCTAGTACTCTTCCCCTGATACTTGTTACATAAGCCACATTTGACTTGACCCAACCAAGTGGGGGAAAACGGTGTGTGGGGAAATAAGACCCAATTTTCACTTACTACCAAGGTAATTTGAAAGTCTTACAAGATCTTCATTACGTCTGACAGTCTTTTAGCACAAGATAAACAAATAAGCAAAACAAACAACTCGATTTATACAAATCACTTGCTCTTTATGAAGTTATAAAGACTCAAACTTGAAACATCCTGATGGGTGTTTGAGAGTATAAGAATAACATAGTCCAGCCCAGGGCCTTCAAAAAGGAACACGATCACATCATTCTGCAGGGCTTTGTTCCCTTCTGGCTGTAAAACTCTTCGGGTGAAGGGGTGCCACAAGTCTCTTAACCCAGTTTAATCCTGGACAAGTCTTGACATAGAGGCTGCACATTTCCTTGCCTCTCTTTAGTTTCTGTCTTCTGTGAAAATGCCACATATGTAGATCTGAAAGCCCATTCGTCACACGATTTTGAATGTGAAGTAATTCCTGTATCATTTTCATAGAGACTGATTTTTTTTTATAAAGCACATTCAGGCCTTATAGTGATTAGTTTCCTTAAGAAAGCTATTTGAACTATTTTATATTCAGAGGAAATAGAATTATAGTACTAATCAAGTTATTAATTAGAAAGCAGCCGGGTGACTGAATCATTTAGAATATTTCAAGATTTTAGAAAATCTGTAACTAAGAAGTGCTGGCAAAATTATCTGAAAGATGTATGTGAAAGTGATGTATCCCTACTATTGGTTCTCTGCCTTCCAAATCTAGACCCGACATTTGTATACCCTTGTAATTTTGGGGCTGCTCAAGTTTAAATTTTAAAGAAGTTACCAGTGTGCCTAATGAAAAACTTTATTTTATTAACATGTGTTATCCTCCAGCTTTGGAAGTGGAATGTAAATTTAAATCTCACTGGCTTTACTTGTGGCAGAAATGTACACCAGCCCTTATACAGCTGCGGTCTTCTTGATAATCCTATTAGTCACCAACTATCTATTTCCAGAATTAATACAGGTGTCAGAACATGGTTAACTTTACAAATAATATAGATACTGTGCAATTTATACAGATCAAATGCTTTTAAATGTACATAGAGTAATAATATAATTACAGATAAATGGAAGCACTAGAATGAATCAGAATCAATTTATGACTAAATCTTGACTCCTCCATTTCAGGAAAACATGGGCACCACTGTAGTCTATGCTCAATCAGATCTTTTCATATGATCAGTTGAGGCAACATTGTGATTGTGTTCTACAGACATACGATTCTCAACCTTTTGTGGTCACAGACCCCTCTGACAATCTGAGAAATCTAGAGCTCTGCTAGGTAGAGAACCCCTCATTAGCTCAATACTAAAATTGACCATACAGTTTCAGAGTGTTCAAGGACCAGGTAAAAAACTCTACTTCCCGTAAAGAGGCTATTCTGTTCCAGCCGACACTGAGTCTTTGGTTAGTTTACATTAGCATCCACCTCCCTTCCCTGAGGGTCAGAATCCTGTCATCTGAAGCTTGTCAGGAACTGAACTTGGGCTTGTCCTCCTTATGCAAACAATGCAAGATGAGAAAAGACTTTTTCCTTCTTTCAGAACTACAGACCTCCTTTAAATTGCATATAATATAATATAATATAATATAATATGTAATATAATTTTGGATGTTTTTAAAAGTCCAGATAGAGTACTTGAATTACTTGGCTAGCTATATGTTAAGTACCTTAGAGCAGTGATTAATCTTCCACAGGCCTTTAGGCTGCTAGGAGGTAAGCTCACTGTTGTCTGCGGGTGGCACAACTGCCTTACCTACTGTCCGCGAACAAGGACAATTCATCAGTGGAAGGCGGCGTCCGCAAAACAGGAGACCCTCATGCCATCAGGCTTCTGTAACAGGAATCCACAGACTTTTTCTGTAAAGAGCCAGATAGCAAATCTTCAGGTTTTGTGAGCCTTGCAGTCTCTGTAGCAGCTACTCAGATCTGTCGTCATGATGCTGAAGTAGCCACAGACAGGACAGAAGTGAATGGGTGTGGCCATGTTCCAATAAGACATTCTTTTCTTTTTTATTTAAAAAAGTTTTAATGTCTATTTTTGAGGGAGAGACAAGACTATGAGTGGGGGAGGGGCAGAGGGAGAGGGAGACATAGAATTAGAAGCAGGCTCCAGGCTCCAAGCCCAAAGCAGGGCTTGAACCCACCAGCTGTGAGATCATGACCTGAGCTGAAGTCAGACGCTTAACCAACTGAGCCACCCAGGTGCCCCAAGATGTTATTTTCAAGAAAAGCTGGTGGGCTGGATTTGGCCCATGACCTGTAGTTTGTTGACTATCCTAGAATAGAAGTCTCACATTTTGCTTTCATCCTGCTACTATTTCTATGCCTATACTTCAGGCTTCATCCATTCTGTAAATCACCATGGGGTCTGCCACTACTTAAGAAAGTTGTTGGGAAGTGACACTGCATCAGATTGTGGGAATAAGCTTTGTGCGCACAAAGTACGTGGCAGATAAGCCAAGAAACCAAGAATTCGGTGGTTAGATCACTTCCATTCAGGATGGAGACTGAGGCAAGATTGGAGGACTTTTAAATAACGTTCCTATAGAAATACTTCCGTGGAGGGGGGAAAGTCATTATGAGTTTTTAATAAATTACCCTATGTCTTGAAGTTTATTTAACTCCGTGAATCCTCATAAAAAACCCTCTACCTTCTCTTTGTTCTCAGTGGCTTACGAAAGGCGTGCAATGCAGGATTATGAAAGAAGACGTAAATAAACCATCTAATATGTAATTTATTGAGCTTCATTTGTGTCAGTGGCCATTGAAAGGTAAAATGAGACATGCATTATGAGGAATAATTATTTAATAATAATTGTTTTGAGTCGAAAACTCAAAAACACTGTTTTTCATATTGTGCCAATATGTGTTGTGAACGTGTGTTAGAATTCTAATAGGACTCCCTCAGCCATAGAAACCAGTGGTAATTTCTCAACAAAGCACAGTGTTCAATGAAAGTGAAATATGGTCTCCAAAGAAAGAAGTCATTTTTGTTTCTTGGAAGCAGTCACGTCAGCCACCGTTAAAGGAAGGGAAACTCACAGACGGGCTTGTGCTTCATGTGTTTTCACGGTGGAAATGTACTAAGATTTGGTATCCAACTGTACCCCTGCAGCATGTTTCATGTGTTGTGACTATATAGAGATGTTTTTAAAGTTTTAATGTGATTCTAAGGTCTTCCCTTCATTGTATACTGCATTGTGATAGTGAACATTTTAAATAAAAGAAAAATTATCTTGAGGATTGGGTGTTACTCTTCCGTTAAATAAAAGAAAAATTATCTTGAGAATTGGGTGTTATTCTTCTGTTAATATCTGTCAAACCAGCAAACTTTTCTTTTAGTAGATGAAATCTGTGTGAAGCTATTTTGGCTGCTAAATGGTGAAATATAAAGCAACCAGGTTTCTTTTTCTTGGGGGAAAATTTCTCCAATATAATCTCAGTTCTCTACTCCTCCCTCCTCTCCCCTCCGCTACACATTGATTTGTTTGTTGTTGGTTTTGGCTCAGTCTTGGCAGGAGACCATTCATGAGGAAAACAATTACATTTTGAAATCCAAAAAGTAAAGGATAAGTTTTGTTTATACATGCCTATGACTCCGTTTTACAAATAGGATAATAATGTGTCTTAAAGATGCATTCCACTGGTTATTTCTTTGTTGGATAAAACATCAGCACACTACTATTTAAGCCCTGCTTGGAGCCCAGGTATAAATGCATCTGTGGGATCCTCACTAGAATTAAGATCCCAAACTCACAAAGGTCATCAAAAGATAATGGCAGAAACATGGGAGACTGATTGAGAATACAGCATCACTCCTATAACAAAGGCAAGAGCACCTTTCTAGCATTTCTGAGAAGTCCTGTGCATTGCCGGCTCCTGTAACACTCTCCAGCAGAAGCATGTGCATCAGGAGTAAATACAGAGCAAGACGCTCTTGCTCTGTATTTACTTAAGGGGAAGGATTGATAAGTGTCCTTGGAATTGTTTTCTGATTGCATAGAGAGTGTGCAGTACTGACAGGGGACAATGCCTCAGGACCAGCAATGTTTTGTGAAATAAAACATGATGTTAGCCTGGGTTGGTGACTATTGGTTTTCTTGGGGGTTTTGTTTTTTTTTTAATGTTTTTTATTTCTGAGAGAGAGAGCGTGAGTAGGGGAGGGTCAGAGAGAGAGGGAGATACAGAATCTGAAACAGGCTCCAGGCTCTGAGCTAGCTGTCAGCACAGAGCCCCATGTGGGGCTCAAACCTGTGAACCGTGAGATGGAACCCATGAACTGTGAGATCATGACCTGAGCCGAAGTCAGAAGCTTGACCTTAACCGACTGAGCCACCCAGGTGCCCCATTGACTATTGTTGATTAATGTTAAAACCATTTGTGGGACAGGAGAGCTAAAGTATATTTTAACCTTTACATTTTTAAATGAAAAATTTGCCTTAACTCTGACAAACTCATTTCCATTACACAATACAATGAAATATTACAAATTATAAATGATAAGCAAACTGGAGAAAATTGGAGACATCTAGAGCCCTACTCCTCAACAGTAATGTTTAACATTCTATTTAAGAGTAATAATTGCTGGGCGCCTGGGTGGCTCAGTCAGTTGGGCGTCCAACTTCTGCTTAGGTCATGATCTCACAGTCTGTGAGTTCAATCCCTGCATTGGGCTTGTGCTGACATCTCAGAGCCTAGAGCCTGCTTTGGATTCTGTGTCCCCCTCTCCCACTCGTGCTCTCTCTAAATTAAAAAGTTTTTTTAAAAGAGTAATAATTGCAATATATAATAATAGATATCATTATATATAATCACTCAGTGAGGGAAGAATTATTATCAACATCGTTTTACAGATGATATGAAGATCAAGGAAATCATGGGGTCAGAGATTATAATGAGAAGAGTCAGTACTAGAAAGAGATTATTAGGGGAAAATCGCAGAAGAAATTAAAATCTAACAAGGAGATTGATTAAGCAAACTGGTATATTGATACAACCAAATGTTATGCCATTATTTAAAATGGCATTATGTGTTTAGTGACCTAGAACTAGATATGTGGGATACTTAGGCACAAAACAATATGCCTGCATCATATATACATATTTATTTCTGCATAGATGTTGGATGTGGGGTTCAAACTGCTGGGGTTTGAATCCTGGCTCCATCCATTGAACGGCCATGTGATGATGGACAACTTCCTTCTGCCTCATGATCCTCATCAATAAAATTGGATTACTGCTAGTTCCCGCCACTATCATACACTGACTATGTGTAGTGGACCGTATCCTCAGTGGGGAGTAGGTGAGGGCTGTGGAACATGATATCTGCAAAGCTTGGAGCATAGTCTCCAGCCCACAGCCAAGTGCTCAGTGAATGTTACCTGTTACCCTTGTTAGCCACTCTCCCAAAAGCCAGTGGGGAGATTAGCACCATTTTTTAGCAACTGAAATGGTTTTTAATAGCACACTGAAGAAGCACCAGCATGGGGTGGTGGTTATATACTTGCTTGGCAATTTAAATGTAAGGTTGTATTACAAACTGCAATGCTCTGTGCTGTTCATTGTTGCACTAGATAGTCCCCGTGGCCCATTTCATCTCTGAGTGTCTGTAAGTCTGCAGCAAGATCCCACAGTGCTGCAGAAAGAGCTGTGTCAGCAAGAATTGATTCATGCCTGCTTTCCCTCCAGGCCAGACACCCAACCACATCTGTCAGGAAGGAAAGGAAGAGGAACCTCAGCTTTACGTGTGTACTCATGAAATATTTACTATCCCTTTCCCTCTGTAGCATGGTTCCTTTGATGAAAATAAGTTTTCTTCACCTTTATTCTTTCTTAAATATTTTAGTCTGTTATGAAACAGCAAGATGAATCTATATAATTAAGTTTCCTAAATACTTTATTGCTTTGGTTTTTTGTTTTCTGTTTTGGTGTGGTTTAGGTCAGGAATGAGGGCAAAAACAAATGTTACTCAAACTGAGTAATTTGAGGAGAATTTAATAAAGGGACTAATGAGCAAGGTATCGGCAGGGTGTAGGGAAGCCAGCAACGGAATATGGGTCTCCAGGCTGGCAGCCTTAGGAGCCACTGTTACCCCCAGGCCTGAAGGATCAAAATGAGGAAGTGAAGGTCTCCGTGTGCAGAGGGGCACCTGGTAGCTATTGTCTTCACTAAGAGGAGGGAACCAAAATAGGGTAGTCAGGTATGTTGTGGGGGGAAGAGGGTGGAAAGGACTGGAAATAAACATCCCAATCTCACCCCCTACTAGGCAAACCCAATTGGAAGGGCAAGGGCTAGGAACCCTTGATGCTGCCCAAACCTGTAAGCAGCACAGACAGAGCACCAGAGCAGGTGGGAAAAGCTGATGGGTGCATTACGTAGATAATAAAATGACATCCAATGGACTATGTCTGCAATTATTGTGAATCCGAAAACAAAACTAATAAGCTGAAATTCAAATAGAGAAAGGTATAAAGTAAAAATGAGTCTTACTCTGGACACCCAGTTCTATTCCCTTGGAATATAGACTCATCCAAACAAACAAAAATAATATTTTAATTTGAGCACATGCTGAAATCTCCCCTTTTAAGACCAAGTCATTATGATTTTTTGTTATATTTTAAAAGAGTAAGTACATTGGGATTTGTGAAAAGCAGGGTAAGGACTTTAGGTGGACCAGAAATTATGCAATCCTTGAGAAAGAAAGCACACAAGGGGCCACATCGATAAGCCACGGCCCTTACAGGGAATCACAGAGGCTGCAGAAAAAGGGGCCAACCCCAGAAGAGGGAAGTGACCACAGCAGAACATGGACTTCTTATCAGCGACACTGCGTGCCATGAGGTAAGGTAACAAAATCTAAAACTTCTTAAAGAAAAAATAATACGTTTAGCCAAGCT